TCAGTTGTTGTGTTCACACCACAAGGCAAATGTTGCCTTTCGCTACTTGTGCACTGAAGATGAATGGATTTTGTGTCTGACTTTTATGATTTCTTAAATTAGATTTGTGCTTGCAAGGTTCAAATGAGTTCAAAATCCATTGAGTTCAAATCCTTCCCATCATCATTTTAGGTTATATTTCAACAGATTTCTCGAACAGTTTCTCCCATTTAGCAATATCATAAATCGGAAATGGATTCATCAACAGTTCTCATTAAGGCGTGATCCTGTTCATAGGTGTACATTATGATTTTTGCTGTTTTTTGTGGGGAGTTGCTGATGGTCACTTTTGAGTCTTAACGGAAAGGAAGTTCACGCATGCGGAGTTAGGTTACAATCGTCCTCGCTGTTTCTAAAACTGATTATATCTTTATGCGATGTGAATTCGTCTCAGAAATTTGGCTCCTAGCACAGGTGTTCTGAATGGAAACCGATGACGTTCAGGCCATATCGCATTGAACGATAAACGTCTGTGAACTTACTATTCTATGAGGAAATACTTGAGCTAAATTAGGTCGAGTGCATGCCTATAGGAAAATAAACGGTACTGTTCCTTTAGTTTGCATAACGAGCACAATTGTCACGAGCACACTTTAACCGTTGTTGTAGTTAGGTGACGGTTGATGATCCTCACTTCCACAATAGATATTAATTTCACCCACTCACTTGATAATACCACATCTACTCACATACCACGAAAAGCTTTCTAATAGAACATTGCCCAGATTGTTTCACACGTTCACACTTCTACTTCATTGCCTTGTTGTGAACGATCGCAATGTTTGCAGACCCATACAAAAACCCGTATCACTTCGTGGTCGAATTTCCGCGACACAGTGAAGAGGGATCTGTGCATCGCTCGGACGTCCTGATCAATTTCATTGACGGCAATCCAAATCAAGTCAATGTATGTTTATCCTTTCGAACGCTCTTCTTCAGTCTCGAATGGAACTTCAGTGATTAACGTTTCAAGAGCATGCGTTGATTATTTGAGCGTTTCGAAGGAACGATCAGTGAAAAGTTTTAAGATTATGAGATTTAGTGTTGTGGTGGTGGTGGTTACATTTAGTGCTCATTTGCAGGCAGATGTGAATGGCAAGAGGATAAACCTTAGAGGTGACTTGAACCTTGCCAGATCGGTTCTTCATTTGACTGTGAACGGCAAGGGTATTGCTACTCAACTTGCAAGCAAGAAACCCGGAGAGGTGTGTTTACGTTTTCGATTTTTTTACTTCGTTCTGATCGTCAAATGCGAATGTGTGCAAAATAAACTTCAAACTAGAATAACCCTGAAGTGAACGTGAAGCCCTCATCAAAGCGTGACAGCTGTTGTTAAGACGAGACAATTTGCCAATTTTGTTCTGGCAATAATCAGATTCTCAAAACATTCAAATGGCGCATGTCACGATAAGTGAACGTATTATATACGATGTTATCCGATGCAATGATTCGGTTATCATTCGTAAATGAACCTCTTTTCAGTTCACTCTGATCTACAAGGGATCCCCATTCAAGATGAAGGTCATGCCATCGTTGGCCAACAACATGTTGAAGTTCATGAAAGAAAAGCCAAAACTTGACATGTCCTCAGTTGTGATCGCTCCAATGCCTGGCGCAATCAAGAACGTTGCAGCCAAAGAAGGCATGATGGTGACTGAGGGACAAGAGCTTTGCGTTATGGAAGCAATGAAAATGCAGAACAGTCTGGTGGCTGGTAAGACCGGTAAAGTGAAGAAGGTGAATTGTAAACCTGGTGATACAGTTGATGAAGGATTTGTTTTGGTTGAGTTGGAGTGAAGAGCAACAGTAGCACATTGTGATCGGTTTGATTGACACGGCTAAAAGAGTTTGGTGTTCCACTAGCTGGTATTTGTTTGATTAATTCATAAAGTAACAGTCTTCAGTGCCCAGTGCTACTACTGTCCACCTCAAGTGCTCTTTATATGATAAATTATTTGTTGTTGATCGATTGTTCAATGTATCTCGATTCCTTGTAACCACAACTACACAACGATTCATCGATTTTATCGTCATTTGTATTCTTTTCATTACATTCAGCCTTCTTTGTTTTCGTTTCTCGATCCCTTACGGTTATTACGTGATGCGCCTTTTATGATGTGTTTATCCCGGTCGTACTCAACATTTACATCTCATTGCATCGTCTGTTCACGCGAGCTACCCTCGAAGTGGAGACGTGCGCAGGATCGAGCTCGCCCTTGGAAGACCCTGAGGTCTTTCTTTCGTTTCTCTCTCCCAGTAAATCCTCTTATTATGTGCCAACGACGAGCCCAATCGTTTACGCAGTCTCTCGCGGTTGTTAGGAATCAAAATGTTCGTCTGCCGATGTAATTTGTTTTTAATAAAAGTTAAAAATATTGCTTGCATTCTTCATTTCAATCAACCGGATTTATACCCACACACGTGATCACTCACTAGGAAGTGCAATGATAGAAATTTATTGTTTCTGATTACACAATTTCTGATTCTGAACAATATTTCATCGTATCAAATAAGGGAACAGGGCGAACGGTATCAAATGGATACCGAAAGTTACTGAGTGATAGACTGAAGTGGCTAATGATGGAACGAGATCTTGAGCCAGAATGTGCTTGGCTGATGGATCAGAAATTGTTCACGTTTTGATTGCACTGATTGCCCATACTGTTTAGAAATGTACGAATGGAAAAAAAAGGCATGGTTGTTACCATACGCTCCGCTTGAAAACTGTCCTCAGTTCTGGCCACAAGCTGAGGCACACTAGGATTTCTTCGAAAGCCCACATTTAAGGAGACATGCTCAAAATTCCCAGCAAAACATTTCAATAACAATCTCAAAATAAAAGGAAAGAAACCCAACTCTCAAAAGAGAACACTAATTCTGTGTGTTGCTATGATACATGTGATGGTGATGAATAAATTGGTTTTGTCATTATGAGTTTGACATTAATAAATTTATCAACTGGTTTTATGAATGAATATTAATGTTTTATGAAATCGATAAATATTAGTGTATTATCAGCAGGATCTCTGTGATTGAGCAACACTCAGCTTGCTATGAACAATTGAAGACACAGACATCATAAAGGGAATGAGTTC